TGAGGGAGAACAGGTGCGACTGAACCCCACAGAGTCGCCTGGCACATGACTGGAGCTCCTGGGTCTGTTTCCATCAGACACACACTCACCTGTGAGATCTCCTCACCTGAGCAGCAGAGACGGGTGGGATGCGTCCCGCTGGAGCTGGAGGTGACGGAGGGACGGGCACAAAACCTGCAATTCTGTAATTAACAGAACTTAGTTCTAACGTGCTTTTCACACTTACACCCACACAAGACCAGAAATAAGTCACGTCTAAAAGCTAGCTGAATGTAATGTAAAAAGACTGCTTATTGGGAAGCTTTGTGAATGTTGGGCTATATTCCAATAAAAAATGTGTAACAGATCCAAATTTAAGTAGTTAAATGGGGTGCGTTCACATGATTGACGATTCAGAATGTGTGAGTCTTCAAAGTGCCGGTGAGTCGCCAAGTCCCTTTAAGGCAAATCATGTCACTCGGCGGCCATCTTTGAAATGCCTCTCAGGCATGTAAGTGCAGCTCCTATCTCTTTGAATGGGGAAACATCAAATTCTCCAAAACTGTTCGCCAAGCGTACGATTAAATTTCATATTTGAAATCACCAATGAAATCTGACAACAACTGTCTCATCAATGTTGTTTCTTTTGCTCCAATAGCGTTATAAAAAGCTTATTTTTCAGGCTAGACCAGTCAGTGTGCATGCGCAGTCCTGAGCGCGCGTCTCAGAACGCTGACTGTTTCTATAGCAACCGGGACTTCTAATGGCAGCTGCAGTGACACGCTGACTTTACCGATTAGCGATTGGCTCTTTTACTCAGAAGGCGGGGCTTCCTTCGATAGAGCGGCCATATTGAGTATTGCATTTTTCCCCCATTCAAAACTATACGAGTGACACGTCTTGGGTATTCTATAGTCTTTGGAGTCGCTGACGTCTGGAAGGCATTTGGCAGGTTTTGCAGCCAAACACTACACAATTTTAGCCCTGATTTTCCGCTAATGCAGTTAATAGAGATCGCCACCGACAAAAGCCCCAAATCTGCGGCAAATCGGTGCTCGTTCACGTGAGAAACGATCTTTATGTTTTGAATTATCAAATATGTGATGCGGTGCCCGAGACATATAGTAGTTTAAATATCTAATGCTAGACCTGCCTGGAACTGACATCGGCGACGGCAGACATTTTTGTATTGTGAAAAACAACATCAATAATCCGACCACTTTGAAAGTCCTGTAATGAATGAGCTTCATAAAGGGGCTTTTCGCGATCTGCCAACACTGATTTCCAGCGTTCACTCCTGGCGTCGGTTGAACTGCGCGCCAAATGCTAATAATTTCAACTTTGACCCCTTTGCCGTGACCCTCCTGAAGCATCAGCCAATCATGATAGACCAATTCAAATAATGAATAATTCGTACATTTATATAGCGCTTTTCTGGGTACTCAAAGCACTTTACATGGAAGGAGGGAATCTCCTCAACCACCAAAAGTGTGCAGCATCCACCTGGATGATGCGACGGCAGCCATATTGTGCCAGAACGCCCACCACACACCAGCTTATTGGTGGAGAGGAGACAGAGTGAAGAAGCCAATCAGTATATGGGGATGAGTAGGAGGCCATGATGATGGACAGAGGCCAATGGGCGAATTTGCCCAGGATGCCAGGGTTACACCCCCACTCTTTTTCGAAGGAATCCAGGTACTGACGAGGCTCAACCCTGCTTAGCTTCAGTGGGCAACCAGTCTTGGGCTACAGGGTGATATGGCTGCAAATGACATATCATTATGTAAACGCAATGTGCCAATGAATATACTCGGCTATCTATAAATCTTTTAACGTTAATATTTAGTATTTTGAAAGAATTTCATCAGCACTTAAAAATATTAGGGAAAACATTTTATAAAAGGTTTTCAATTAATTCAGTGCAAATGGAGTAGGATTAGTGTTGGATTTTGAATTTAATAACTACAAAGAAATATAAATAGTTATAAAAAAATGTCCAAAATTTTGAAGTAAAACTTTATTTACAACTTTGCAAAATCATTTTTACAGTGTAGACACTAGATGTACTACATATACAGTAAATATACAGTATAAAATGATTATGCATTATCTCTATTTATTATCTCTAGTTGCTGAGAACAGTATTTTTAGACAATTTTATTAGGTTTTGCATTTGGATATTTAGATTAGACTACTTTTTCAAAGTTTAGTTTTTTTTTTATGTTGATTTGAAGTGTTAGTTTTAGCATTATTAATCACACCAGATCAAAAGAGTCTTTTTTATATACTTGATGTTTTACAGTTTATTCCCTTCATTGCTGGGTGCTTTTTTGTATTGTGGCTGATTTGTAGAATGTATCCACCAAAAATGCTCTGTATTTTCATATTTTTTGACGGCTAACAGTACAAGTGTGACCACTTCTTAAGGCCAACCTTTTCTAATCACAAAAGTCACCAAATTATACCATCCCAAAAATAATAATAATAAAAAAAAATCATATTTTAGTCTATGACACCATTGTGAGTCAATATTCCAGATCGTGCATGATTTCTGCTGTGATTTTACATATTTGAAAACAGAATGAAGATCACCAGAGGTTTTAGCAAAACATGTTTAATTTCTCCTTGATGCTTATTTATTTACAAGTAGTAAATCTGCCAAAAAAAAAAAAAACATATTTACACATGAATAGAAACCAGTGACAGTCTGAGTCCTGAATCATAATTGTTCAAATGTCTTTTGTTATTTCAGTTTCACCAACAACACAAACTATCTTGCTTCATCTCTGCATCTTTTTTTTCTGGTCTGAAGGACAGATACTTCATTATTATTTTTTAGAAATTACTGGAAAGAAACAAAGAAAAAGAGGGATGAGGTTAGACACGAGAGCTTTCGTATCTGTGCCGCAGTATTATTGCGTGTTATCAACGCGGACCTTCACAGAGATCTTGAGTTAAAGAGCAGATTCATGAAAATTGTAGAAGCTATTACAGCAATGTATGAAAGGAAAGCAGAGAACACTCCAAAAGCACCAGTTTAGACACATTTCAATCCAAGAAACACAACAACAGGATCAAAATATAAATAAATTAAAACACAATTTTTTTTTTTTTGTACATGTGATTTGAAAGTTGGGTGTAAACACTGAAAGTCCCTGGGAAGAACCGCAACCCAAACGTCCAGAACATCACCAGTGAGTCCAGTCTCTGGTCGAGAGACAAACTCAAGAGCGGAAGGAAGATCCTGAGATGTTTGGAACTCATTTTAAAGCATGTGACGTCAAACCAGACTGATTAGAAGGTCAACGGGCCGTCCGCTGCAGTTACACTGACCATAAACACCAACACGACCTCCATCAGTCGAAATCAACCGATACAGGATTGATTGTGCAAAGTGAAGACATGCACCAACCCACTGACAGCACAAGGTTATTGCATGAAGATTATGTAGATCAGATCGTAATATCTGTCAAAACAAACCAGTCGAGCAGGAAGAAAGCCAAACCAACAAAGTTGAAACTTCAGTGTTAATATAAAGTCTGTTTTTCTTCTTTTTGTCTCCGGGTAAAACTGAATGTTGTCACTGAGGATGAGGATGATGCCACCTGACTACCTGCCTTTGACCTCACTATCAGAGCAGAGCTTTACTTTAGTTACAGTACAACCATTAAACCGGTTCACACCAAGAATGATAACTTTAACCACAATGTTTTAGCAGAGTCCACATTACAAGGAAATATTTATTTGGAATCACTTTCAGACAAATTTATTTTTATAGCTGATGAACAATAAAAATCAAAGCAAATCAAAATCACTGCAAAATAGAACTGCAATTTTATTCACAAAACATAACAGCAGTGCACATTTAAAATATGCAATATTATTGTCCTTTGGTGTGGATGCTAATATAGTTATCATTCTTAGTATAAACAGGACTTTAATTTGATATTTTAGTAAAATAAGCCTTAGAGACCCCATGAAAAGGCCTGATGAGTACGGTTTCCCTTTGCTGTCATATTTCCAATTAATCAATTAACCAATTAATAATCCATCTCATTACTTTACAAAACAGTTAATAGCTTTTTAATTTAGCCATTTTTGTTGTAGTTTATAGCAAGATCATCAATATTTTTGTACTGGTTTCCTGGAAGAAAAACGCTGCAATTTTTAAATGCTAAAAGTAAACCAGCTAAAATTTAATTTGTTCATTTTTAGGAGAAGACCAGCATATGATGCACTGAAATCTAATAGACATGTTGATCTCACAGGCTCTTTGAGTTAAATCTGATGCGAGAAACTGGCCAAAAACTTCGGAAAAGACTCATTGAGAACATGGAAGATCGATTAAAAAAAAATAGAGAAACTAGAATGATATTTCCTCACTGATACTGTTGTTGTTTTTGTCTCTGTCCATTTTATACTTCGTACCACTTTATGAAGCACTAAAACATTCGCTCATAAACGACGACTCACAGGTTCAAGAGGAAACAAACAGATCAAAACAAAAAGAGTTTGACAAACGAGACGTCTCCTCTTAAAGAGATCAGTGAAAGCAGAGCGATGGATCAGTCCGAATCAATCAGGCCCATCTCATTAAAAACAAAAGCCCAGTTCTCTTTTCTGATCACGGAGGGTGGAGGACTGATGAATGAGCGTATCGACACGCCGCAGAAACACTGACTCATGCATCTGAAACAATTCACTCTGCCTCCTTTTCATTCATTTATTTCAGCTCAGTCTCACTAAACGTAGTGATTTCTGCTGAAAGACGAGGAGGACGAACGCGTTTAATGATCTGAGCGCACATGGTGGAGTGAGCTGATTTAGCTAAAATCAAGAGGAGCATCTGATGAACCCGTAATTAAAGCTCTGCTTTAAAGAAACAGTTCAGTCAAAATTAAAAACGTGTCATTTTTGGATGAAATATTTCTCCTGTCATAATTTTTTTTCAATCAGAGCACATTCCTACTTCACAAACCTTTTTTTTTGCATTAAACAACATTCAAATAAAACATGGCACAGGACAAGATTTTTATTCATATTTTTTGTTATTTTTTTCCTTCTTTTTATCATTTGTGTAATGTCAACTTTGTGTGCATGAGATGGAGGCAGTTGCTCGTTGATTCTGTAAACTGTGCAAAATTCAGCAGAAACACAAGTGGCAAAGAGAGCGGAGAGTCGATAACATTTGTACAAAATAATAAACATAGTAAACACGCAATCAGATTAGAGTGTCCTTTGATCCGTCGCGATCATTGGCTCGTGACACGGTCACATGACTTCATCAGAGGTCCCAAACGTCCTCATTGTCTCTTCAAAACAGGAAAGAGCGTCTTTGTCCAACAACGCAAAATCTACACCACCTACATTCAGCGTTGTGGCTTTGTCCTGGTGTATAAACACACACGGAGGCTTCCAGTCCCGATCAGCTGGAAAGAGCCATCGTGTCGATCACCTGCTCCAGTTTAACCCTCAGTTTCTGGCGGCGCGACTGTTCATCCCTCTCCAGCGCCGACAGGATCTACACAGAACGAGAAAACCCAGTGAATTCAGTGACACGGCAGACGGAGAGCGTTCTGAGGCCTGAGCTGCGTTCGGTTCTCACCTCGTCCTTGTATTTGGTGATGTAGGAGAAGATTTCGTGCAGCGCGCTCATACTGTTGAACTGCTTTAAATGCAGACGCGACTGTTCGGCCAGATACGCGCTCATGTCCTGATCACTGATCGCAGGCATCCGCGAGATATCAGAGTAATACCTGCATAACACACACACAGATTTACAGCCATCAGCAGATCAAACATATCAATCCAGATGTCTGCTTTAACTCACACACCCTTCACACTGAAGCGCTGAAGATTTCATATCTTACACTATATAGCATTTAATTTGCTAGATGTACAATTATAATGTTCTCTAGCACCAAAAACAATGGTTTCTGAATAAACCATTTAAAAAGTTTGGGGTCATTATGATTTTTTTTCATTTGAATTAAATTCAAAAGTGCCAGTAAACACATTTATAATGTTGCAAAAGATTTCTATTTCAAATAAATGCTGTTCTTTTGAACTTTCTATTCATCTGTGAATCCTGAAAAATAAAGTGAATCAGGCTTGATGAATAAAAGTATCAATTTCTCACTGAGCCCAAACATCTGAATGATAATGTATCACAAATTGAATATTGTGCAGCACAACTGTTTTCAACATTGATAATAATCAGAAATGTTTCTTGAGCAGCAAATCAGCATATTAGAATGATTTCTGAAGATCATGTGACACTGAAGACTGGAGTAATGATGCTGAAAATTCAGCTGCGCATCACAGAAATAAATTACAGTTTAACAGATATTCACATAGAAAACAGCTGTTTTAAATTCTAATAATATTTCACATTTTTTTAAATTAAATAAATGCTGCCTTGGTGAGCAGAACCAACCCCAAACCTTTGAACAGAAGTGTAAAACAACTATATCTACATATTTTTGATGATATTCAACATGCAAACTATTTAAATGTAAAATCTAATAATCAAGGCATTTTTTACACTATTTTTAAGCCATTAAATGAAATGCATAATATTTAATCATTGTTGCAATATAAAATACATAGTGATAAACAGAAATATTTCTTCAGAAAAAATTTATTCTAATACATGAAAAATTCCCCACAGAGACCTCTGTGAACATTGAGTGATTCCATATATTGTCTAAAAGATCAACTGATTCATGCAAACAGACAATTTGAACTTATTAATGTAAAAGAATCAAACCAACTCAACTAATGCTTTTTTTTAAATATAAATTAGAGACACTATTAAAACGTGTTTTAATGCAAAACTAGTCTAATGGCATGTTCTTTATGAAACTTGCTCAGATAAAAAGTGCAAAATCATCCACAATACATTGCAAATATATGTTACGAGGATGTGATATATCATCCAACACAGTAGATGCAGCTAACAGCATGCAGTTTTTCGAGTGTAAACCAAAAAACCAGTGAAATTGTCTCCGTGCCGTACCTCTCCACCCAGTTCTTGTAGTTGGGGATGTCTTTAGCGTAGAGCAGCTTGTTGGAGGGCGAGTCTTTGCCCAGCTTGTGTTCTGACGTGGAGCAGGAGTCCATGAAGGTCTGAGCCACGACGGACAGACACGCGTCTGTAATGCTGTTCTTATGAATGTCGAACACAAACTGAGGGTTCTTGATCACGTTCACCCAGAACCTCAACGGCAAGCTGCAGACAAAGAGGAATGGCGTTCAAACACCAACAGAGGGAGCATGCATGCTTTAATGCACTCCTCGATTTCGAGACGCACACAAACTCACCAGTTGCTCTTCCACGTGTGTCTGACGTCGGGGTCTGATATCATGTGTCTGTCGGCCTGCTCGTCTAAGAAGTCAAACATGTATTTGATGGCCAGAGGAAGCGCGCTGCCCCGGTGGGCCGTACTGAAGATGGTCTCAAACAGGTCGTCTACAAACTTCTGCAGTGTCCCCTGTGAGAGACGAGTCAGTCAATCAAGGCATGTTTTACACTGTAAATAAACTGAGGCATAATATTTAATCATTGCACCATTATAACAAGACATAGTGATAAACAGAAATATTTACAGAATGCATTTTCTCAAAAAAATAATAATGAAAAGTCCCAGAAATTTTTATGCCATACATTAGATGCATAGATTCATGCAAACAATCTGAACGGATTCATAAAAATGAATGAAACCTACCAACTCAACTAATGCTACTAAAGTATAAATCAGAGATGCTATTAAAACATCTTAATGCAAAACTTTTTCTTTAAGAAACTAATTGTAATATCACTGCAATGTCCACAACGCTTAATTTTATATTGCAAGCAAAAATGACTGTGAATATACTGTAAATATACACTTGCTTTAGTATTTTTGTCTTGTTCTCCAGTACAAATATCCAAATCTTAAATCAAGATACATTTACTTAGGCAGCAAAGTGACCTAAACTCACTTCATTTTGATTAATTTTTCAGAAAGCAAGAGCTAATATCTAATATGTGACCCTGGACCACAAAACCAGTCATAAGGGTCAATTTTTTGAAATTGAGATTTATGCATCATCTGAAAGCTGAATTAATAAGCTTCCCATTGATGTATGGTTTGTTATGATAGGACAATATTTGGCCGAGATACAACTATTTGAAAATCTGGAATCTGAGGGTGCAAAAAAAATCAAAATATTGAGAAAATCATCTTTAAAGTTGTCCAAATGAAGTTCTTAGCTATGCATATTACTAATCAAAAATTAAGTTTTGATATATTTACGGTAGGACATTTACAAAATATCTTCATGGAACATGATCTTTACTTAATATCCTAATGATTTTTGGCATAAAAGAAAAATCTATAATTTTGACCCATACAATGTATTTTTGGCTATTGCTACAAATATACCCCAGCGACTTAAGACTGCTTTTGTGCTCCAGGGTCACATATTTTATGTGGTTTTGCTTTAGTATTGATTTAAGGATGTTTAGATGTTTGTCCTAGAAACTAGACTAGTTTTTTGCAGAGTTTGATGCCCATGTAGAGACACTGTTACATAATGCAGTGACATTCAGGCTTTTTTAAATGTCTCAAGCGAACTGCTGTAGGTTCAGATGCATGTGCTCATCACATGAACACTATATATTTGCAGGGAAAGGCAGCAGGTTTGAGCCCAGATATCTGTGTAGTGTCAGACGGAGACGGAGCACAGGATGGATAAAGAGCTAGTTTTTCCCAAACCGCTCAATAAGCAAAGGTCACTGGTCTAATTAAGATACAGTTCTCCATGAGAGTGGGAGCACTGGTAAATGTTAACGAGCAACTAGTCATTCACACACAAAGGTCAACACTAACCGTCTGAGGACATCAGCTGAGAAAATCAGACATGTGCTTCAAAAGTGAGGCAATTAGTTCCAGTGTGTGTGTGTTTGTCAAGACGGAGAATATTAGCGACAGATTTCACCGTACTCATACTAAACACTCCTGCCTGAGAAATACATCAGGACAATGTAGTAAAAAAAAATGATTTGCTCTGATTAAAAGTAACTATGTGACAGTGTTGATATTGTTTACTAAAATTTTAAATATTAGTAAAAATATCAAACTATTATTAAAAATTGGGTTACACTATTTTAAGGTGTCCTTGTTACAGTGTAATTATACATGTAAGTACTGAGTAATATTAATTTACTACATGTACATCCTAACTAAGGTTAGGATTAGGGTTTGGCTTTGGGTTACTTGCATGTAATTATGCATAATTAATTGTTATTATAATAGTAAGTACATGTAACATGTGTAACACGGACACCTTAAAATAAAGTGTTATCAAAAATTGTTTTTGTTCAGTGAAATAAAGCTGAAAATTCAAATAAATATTAGATGAAAACTTGATAAATAAATAAATAAATGGAAATAATAAATATTGCATTGTCAACTAACCAAAATAAATTTTAAGTAGGTGTACTAAGCAAGTGTACTAAGCAACAAAAAAATTTGTATTTTTAGAAATGCAGCTTTAATGTATAAAATAATAAAACGAGAAATAAGAAAAACTTAATGACAAAAGTATTCAAAAAATGCAAAACCACATAAAAAAATGACTAAAACTTCAACTAAAATAATAATATATTTATATATATATATATATATATATAAACTGAAAATATAAACATGAAACAAATTCAAAATATTAATAAGTACTATATTAGTGTATAAATGATACTAAAATGATGCATGAGTATATTCAGAATGGCATACTACATACTACATAGACATATGCAGTAAGTACTCAGTATGCACAAATACCCAGATGATCTACTACATTAGCAGTATACAACAAAGCACATGCAGAAGACACTGTATCCCACAATGCAATGCGCCTGACTCAGCCTTCTATTTTGCAGTGTGATAAACGAATGACAAGTATTATCAACCATGATTTTTAAATGATGTTATCTATTATCTTGAACATGCTTAATCTCCTTTTTATCAAGTATTTTGTAAATTAAGCATACACTGCTTTAGGTTTTTCAAGGTAGCTTTGATATCAGGCGTCTCTCTCCTTACCTTGGTAGCCAGCAGACGCGTCAGGTAGATCTCAGAGACCATCTTGCTGCCGCGGTCGCCCTCCCTCTGGTCCGGATGGTCATGGTTCTTCACCAGGTGCCAGAGTTTGGTGCCGCTCTCCAGGTCTGGCGTGATCATGGGCGTCCGCGAGCGAAGGCTGTCTGGACTGCTGGCCGTTCTCAGCATGCTCTCTGTGGACACAAAGAGGACGGCTTGCTGTTTGCTAGGATCTTAAAGTGTGTTTTAGATTACTCTAAAGCAGATTCAGGGTTGAGAACCGTGGGAGAACTGAACAGAAATACCTTTCATTATAACTTCATGAGAATTTGGGGGAAAATGTATGCAAACAAACTGTAATACTGAAGAAAACTGAAAAGAGGATGTGAGAAAGATTATAATTAAGAGTCAAATTTACTATTAAGAGACACCCAGTGATTATATTATCTAGTGATATCTCAAAACTGGACTGTAAAACAGTTTCGCTCTCTTCCTCCCTCACTGACAAACACAGATTTTGGATTTCATATCCATCATTTCCATTCTGTCTGAGGAAGAGAGCATTAGGATACACAACAACAACACAAGCGCACGCCAAAGAGAAACAGACAGAAAAAGACAGAAAGGCTATGTTTGGAACGAAACAGACTACTATAGTAATGGTTACTGCATACTGCATGGTATATTCTGTATACTAGCTTCTTTTCTTTTTTTTTGAACATGTGGAATAATAATAATAATTTTTTTTTTGTTGCCATTTTTATTCATTTCTGTGTACAAACTTTCAAACATTAAAATTGTATGTTGATTAATTCCAGTTTGTTACACTGGCAATGGAATGTTGACTTGGCAACTAAATGTAATAAATAAGCTTAAGTAGTAAAATTACTAAAATTGAAATAAAAAGATGTGCTTAACTGAACATACATATATATATATATATGTATATGGCAATAGATGGCAATACACTGGCAATAGAAGGTCAAGTTTGATCCACTGCATTATGGGATACAGTATTTCATGCTCTGATTTTATACTGCACAGTTGTATTCCTCTCTCTCTCTCTCGCTCACCGTATCTGCTCAGGGATTTGGTGAACGTTGAGGAGTTGGAGATGTTGTAGGCGGAGTTCTGCTTGGGAACCAATGCGATCGCTGACCCGTCTGTTACCTAGACGACAGACAGATTGACACTGACACTGTCTATTACTGCTACAAGTACAGGAGACAATCAGAATCAGACAATATAAGCATTTTTAATTACGGGCATCAATCTAGTCAAGCTACTGAAAACAGAAGATTTACATGCAAATTCCATAATATAAAACTCTAATTTTGTAAAGACAAACATGTAAAAATCTATCTTGCAAAATTACAGTTTGTGGATATTGGTTCAATTCTATAATGTAAAACATTCTATATTGTAAAAAAATCTTTGTAAACATGAAAAAGTAAAATTCTTCAATGTAAGGATAATTGTAAAATTCTAGATTCTCAAATTCTACAGCTGTGCTAAGTTATAATTTCCATCATCATATCAGTTACCAGCCTTTAATTCTAAAGTTCTATATTGCAAAACTATAATTTTGTCATGACACAATGTACAAATCTATCTTATAAAACTACAATTTTGTAAAAATGAAAATGTAAAATTCTTCACTGTAAACTTGTACATTTGTAAACACAAACATGCAAAATTCTAGATTCTAATTTCTAGAACTTTTTGTCAGCTCAGAATTACAATCTTCATAATCAGTTATCAGCCGTAAATTCGAAATAAATTCTATATTGTAAAACTAAGTTTGTAAATACAAAAGCGTACAATTCTATTTTGTAAAATTACTATTTTGTAAACATAAAAATATAAAATTCTTAAATGTAAACTTGTACATTTATTAAGGTATACATTAAATTCTAGATTCTAAATTTTTTGTGAGCATGTACTTATAACTTCAGTCATCATATCAGTTATCAGCCATAAATTCTAAATAAATTGTTAAAACTGTAATTTTGTAAAAATGAACATGAGCATGCGGAAATCTATTTGTAAAATTACAATTTTGTAAGCATGAAAATATAAAAATTTTTAAATGTTAAATTTCTATATTTGTAAAAAAAAAAAAAAAAACCAGACTTTTTTTTTTTGTGAAAACAGACTTATTTCGGTCATCATATCAGCAATAATATAAAAATATCAATATCAATCAAAACATCTATATCAATGCATCTCTACTGACCAACGCAGCTTTTGTGGTTGTATTTTGTGAAGTGTTGCTATGGTTACCTGCTTGTGCGCTATGCTTCAATTGTTACCTAGTAACTTTCTGAGGGGTTGCCATGGTTACTGGGCAGCGGGGTGTAGAGGTATTGCCATAGCAACCTCGCAGAGGATGCGGAGAGGCTACTGCGGTTACCTGATAGTGTGCCAGTGTGTTGAGACGCTTCCAGTCGTTGTCGATCTTAGTGGTGACGTCCTCGTCCTGGAGAATGATACGAGCCATGCGACCCTGACGCCACTCTGATCAGAGAAAACACACATCAAAATCAGCCGTCTGAGCAACCTGGGGTAAAAATACAGCTACTGTAAAAACTATTTCTAGTTGGTTATTTGTGGTGATTTCCAGCTGGTGGGGTTAAGGTCAAACATCTTGCTCCAGTTGTTAGACCACACTGTAACCACAATAAACCACAGCTTGGTTTTCCAGCATTCATCATTTTCGTACCGAGGTCCATGTCTCCGACTTTGGGCCGCTGCGAGTTCGGAGTGCCTTTAAAGACGGCGTCCAGCAGCTTCTCTTTGACCTGCGTGATGGTGTCGCAGTTCAGGCACTTGACGGTGACCTCGGCTGCGTTCTCATTCTCTGGGTTAATGCAGTGCAGCGTCTGCAGAGCAGAGAAACACATTGAAGAGTATTAAAAGGCCTTCCCACTTACATAAATCACATACACTCTGTCTGCAGAAAACAAATCAAACTTAGCGGAATAAAATGATAGTTTTTAACACTTATAACAAGCAATACTATGGAAGCCCGTTTCCACCGCTGAATAAAAATCAAAAGGTAATTGTGACTTTTTATCTCACAATTTGGACTTTTTTTCTCAGAGTTGCGAGATATAAATTCGCAATTGCAAGGAAAAAAAGTCGGAATTGCGATAAAAAGATAAAAAGTCGCAATTTTTTATTCAGTGGTGGAAAAGGGGCTTCCATGCAATACAGATAACTATGACAAGATGCAATACAAAGAAGTGTGTTTCTGACTTTTGTTTGAAGTGTGTTTGATTTTGAGTCGGAACTGACCAGTGTTTTGTAGTCGATCTGTTGTCGGATGAGTTTGTCCTCGCTGAGCGAGTATCTGGCCTCTCCGGTGATGGCGTCTATCGGCCCTTTTTCCATCTGCTGCTTTATAGCACAATACAGCATGAAGAGAGGCTCACCTGCACACTCCTGAACACACACACACACACACAGGACAGATAGAAGAGATAAAATGAGATTAGACTTCAGAATAACACGTGAACACATACTCAATGCAAGCACATGTATATTTATACCACAGAAAATATTCATGTCCTAAAACATCCCCAAATCCACACCCATAACTCATGCACACACACACGTCTGACTCTAGGAGGAGCTGTAACAAGCCAATTCTTGTTTTTGCTTCTAAATCAGGGCTGTATGGGGTAAATTAATGCTTCATTTTCTCCATTTCATCCCTGGAAGGCGGCATTTTGAGTTTCACACAGCAGTGATATCAATAGCGTACGGCCGATCATCATGGGATTTACATGGCATGCGATTTTTACATTTTGTGAGAATTGAAGGAGGTACTATAATAAGTGTCAATTTATGTGAAAATAACTACTGTATGTGCCTGAAATGGTTTCAAACCTTATATTCTGAATCATTTGAAACAACAGCTTTTTCCTAATGAACTCTTCTGTAGTTAAAGGGATAGTTCACCCAAAAATGAAAATTCGGTCATCATTTACTCTCTCCCTCAAGTTGATCCAAATCTGTATGAGTTTCTCTCTTCTGTTGAACATACAAGAAGATATTCTGAAAACTGTGGGTAACCAGACAGTTTTTGGTCCCCATTGACTTCCAAAATATGGAAAAAAAATACTACTGAACTCAATGGTTACCAGCAACTGTTTGGTTACCAACATTCTTCAAAACATTTTTTTTTTGTATTTAATTATTCATTTTCGGGTGAACAATCCCTTTAAAGACCTTCAAATACATCACAAGGTACATGATAATTGGGGTTTGTCCTATAAAAAAAAATTTGATTTCTGAACCCATTTGACAGGTTTGAGCTAATTAAATGTTTAGGTGTGGCCTATGACTCTCAAACACAATGTGGACAGCAGGACAATCTGGGGATGTGTCCCAAATGACACCAATTTCTGGTCCTGGGGGCCGTTATAACTGAAGTGTCACCATACTGTGATCGAGGAAGTTTTCCACCATTGGATAACTGTGTCTGCAGCACCTATTCTTCCAATTTTGTCAATTGTGGTCATTTCCTCCACTTTGCCCGATGATTGACACTTGTGGATATATTTTTACTCGTCCCTCTCGCTTTCATTCTGCCCATTTCACAGCACTCCACCGCTTTCAAAACCACCTCATGTGTCCAAGAAATGAGTGCAAAACAGACAAGCCATCCACTGTTAGCGGTGTCACGCCCCGTTTTTATTTTTGATGTGTTGCACATCTACTCCAGCCACTTTACTTTCCTGTTCACCCATCACACTAATAATAATAATCAAAATTTAAAAAATCTAATTTTAATAATGCCTGGTCATTATATCAGAGATGTTTCTGCTCTCTTACCATCATATTTATGTTTGGCCTTCGTATTTGGTTTCTGATCATATACTGATCAATACTGACATTATGTAAAATAATTTTACTGTTACAATTTGACTGATCTAAAATAAACCAAGCAAAGTATAAGCTGCTGTGTATCAATGAATTTCAGCTGAAAAAAAAAAGGATTTTATTTTATTTATAAAACAATGCCTGATGAAGGTTGCATGCAAAATGTATTAAAAATGATTTGCAAGCTATAGCAGTGTGCAGGACTCATCTGTTTTTGTTAGACTATTTTAATTTCATTCCATTTACTTATGAAGTTTACTTATTTAGAATAAATTAAATTAGAAATTAATAATTATTTTATTATTTAAATTAGATTTTTTTTTTTTAATTGTTGCTAAAAAGTAACCTTACAATAATTAGTCTGAGTTAACACATTTTTCTATCAAAACAGACTGTACCTTTTTGGTCACTTACAGAGTAAAACACAGCATTAGTTCTTGAACGAGTGTGAAAATAAAATCAAATGGCTCCTTTCAAAGTTTAGAGAGGAGTTTATTACCGCTGTAATATCCTGAAGATCTAATGTGCAACTCCTACAAAAATAAATACGACAAAACACAGAGAACTCCTGCGCCTCCCAGGAGCACCAGCCATATAAAAGCATCCGTTTAGACGTGGAAATGAGTGGCGGGCGCATGAACAGACCCGAGGCGACCAGACGAGCGATGGAGGGTTAATAGAAGGCTAATAACTGTGGAGGAGAGAGCTGGAGAAACACTTCAGAGCGTGATACATGTCAAACAGCCAATCACACGCCTCTCTCTCCGCGTTTGGCTCAGTCTCTTCCTCCTACACACATTCTCTGGCTTTCATCATTCACAACTGCTGCTCTTCTCGTCTCCGTCTCACTAATTTGATCATCATCTTCCTTCTATCACTCCGTCTGTCTCCTGAGAGTGTGTCTCTGTTGTCTGAAGCAAATGTGCACAAATGAGAGTGCAAAACACCACAAGATCAGTGCACTCGGCTTTAAAATGAAATCAAATTTTGTGTTTTTATAATGGTTCAAATATCCTCATGTCTCAGCTTAACATGCAGAAGAGAAAAAAAATGTGTACTGCTGCTTTCAAAACATTAGCACAGCTGATTCAACCAATGGTTAGTGTTTGTGGGCGGGGCTATTGGTTTAACTGACCAATGGCAGAAGGGGGGGCGTGTTCAGGAACCAGCTTGACGATATGCCACATTATTAAAGTTGAATGCGTCGCAAAAGCCGTTTCTTTAAGGCTCATGGCTAATTACCCAAAGTAATTAAACTGTATAAGACAACTTTAACCAGCGGCGCTCGCGCTCTCAGGTGAAAACACAATGACAAACAGCCGTGTGTGACTCCTGCTGGATGTTTGTTGTGTCCCGTGTCCCTCACTGGAATCCGTAGCGGCCCATCCATATGCCGGCCCTGCCACGCTGGGCTCATTAGCACAGGGAATAATTAAACACACAGCTGTTAATGAGCAGCAGGAGACGACACACACACACACACTCAACGCCCCTCACTCCAGTGTGTTTATGGAAGCGCTTTATATTAATGCAGGTTCTTAAAGATTGTAATAATGAACTTCCCCTGCTGGAACGATAAAGTACATCTGTCTATCTTGTATCTGAATCACAAACAAACTCAAGGTGAAATAATAATTCAACAGCAACATGATCACGTGCACAGAGAGTGTCTGGACCTTAAATATGCAATCAAAAACTATTGCATTTATTAATTCACTCATGACCTGAAAAACAGCTTAAACCCGCCTGAAGTGGTTTACTGGCTTCAGTTATGGTTTAGTCAACGTCTTTGTCCGTTGATGAAAATTTCCTTTACATTTGGTCAATATTTTGTAGTGTCATACTCATTAGTTTTAGTTAATTTTACTGTAATGGTATATCATTTTAGTTGACAAAAATAACAGTTGATGCAAATATCAAAATTAAAAACAAAAAGACTACAATTTAACCACATTTTCAAAAAAAACCTACAAAACAATTCAAAAGTTTGGGGTCAGTAAGACTTTTAAATGTTTTTGAAAGAAGTCTCTTTTGCTCACTAAGGATGGATTGATTTGATACAAAAAATACAGTAAAAACAGTAATATTGTGAAATATTATTACAATTTTAAAAAGCTGTTTTCTATGTGAATATCTGCTAAAATAATTTATTTCTGTGATCAAAGCTGTATTTTCAGCATCATTACTCCAGTCTTCAGTGTCACATGATCTTCAGAAATCATTCTAATATGCTGATTTGCTGCTCAAGAAACATTTCTGATTATTATCAATGTTGAAAACAGTTGTGCTGCACAATATTTTTGTGGAAACGGTTATACATTTTATTTTTCAGGATTCGCAGATGAATAGAAAGTTCAAAAGAACAGCATTTATTTTAAATAGAATCTTTTGTAACATTATAAATGTCTTTACTGTCACTTCTGATCAATTTAATGCATCCTTGATCAATAAAACGGTAGTGTGTAAATATATACATGTAAATAAATGCACTGAAATTGCATAAATATTATTGTGTCATACATAATATAAATAGAGCATGTGACAAAACCTCTCTGAAACCAGTAAACCAGTCCAGTGGAAGACCAGCAAACCTATTTTTTGTTAGCAGGGGAACCACATAGTGAGTAAAACTGCAAAAGATACACATAAATACAGTTATACAGTTCCTTCCACTCACCTTAAGAAACTTGTAGAGGAGGAAAGTAAACCAGTTTGTTAGCATCTTCTCAGCCACAGATTCCGTCCTGAGGGGGAAACAAGAGTAAAAAATAAATGTCAAGGATTTATTTACTTGCGTGCCGGAGTCCCTGAGGTAAACCTTTAAGAGCAGAGAGAGATGCTTTGAAGGCTTCTTCATTCCCTCATTTCCCAAGCCTCACAACAAGAAAAACCATTCCCATAACCAACATCTTTCGGGGGGGATGTTGACTTAAACTCCCATTTGACATCAAAGTGCCACGGCCGAATTATTCCTTCAAACCTTCAAAGGACCCGAGCGCAAAGCAAACTAAACTTCATTAAGAAAACACCAATTAAAATATTCCATATCTTCTGTCATTAAACAGAAACCTGGTGCACAATAACAACCCTCCAAAACAAGTCCCTCGGAATGAGGCTAATTACACGGCTTGGTAATTAACGGACCTTATTAGCGCTAATCTGCTCACGGCGTGCGAGAGGAGGCGTAGACGAGGAATCTGGTGAAATATGTTTGTTTTTACCATCTCTGCTGAATTATTCACTCGTTCTGACGCCAAGACAGATGCAGAGGAAAATGATAAGCCACGAGAGCTCGACGTGAACGACACGCTGCGAGGAGTTATTAAAAAACCTGAGAATATTGTGCTGGAAACATTTCTGGAGGGGTGAAATATTGAGATTTGACTGATCTTCAGGTGAGGTCTGTCATGTTTGAGAGAGGGACAGAAACGGAGAAGCTACAGAGGAAGAAAAAATACTCTACAGCCAAACTAGACGAGAGATCAGTACAGTCCACTTATAACAGACAGAAAAGACCTGTCATTTTTTAGATATTGTTGAATATGGCTTAGGAATGAATCACAAAAAAAAAAAAAAAAAACATGTCTGGTCATATTTTATAATAATAATAATAATAATAATAATAATAAACAAGTTATGGTACATAAATAAATACCACCAAGAGTAATAATAATAAATATATATGGGTAAATAAATACATTAACAACATAATAAATAAAGACAAAAAATGTAGTAATAATAAGTTAAGGCAAACAAACAAACAAACAAATACATAAAAGGGTAAGGGTAAATACATTACCAAAACAAATAAATAAATAATGGGTTAGGGTAATAATACAATAACAAACAGAAAATAAGTATGCTATAATATTCAGATAAATAAATGTGTTATAATATTATATTATATTAAAATAAATATAATGTTTAAAGAAAATTAAGCCTATTAAGGACCACTAGTGAGATTATTTTCATGACAATTAAACTATTTCTCATTACTGTAATGGTACAGATATCTCAGAATAGAATTATCATATTTTTGTATATTAATTGATTAAACAAACCACTTTCCTATAGCTATTTCTACTATAATCAGTATGAAAAATGCTTAATTGTCATGCAAATAATGTCATAATAAGAACGAGTTTTAACAGTCCTAAACTAAGCCTCATTTTCTTTATGCAAATATTTTTTTCTTTTAATTTTGGAGTCAAATGGAAAATGCCCCCTAACAGGCTATTATTAGATTTATCCTAACGGATCTGAGGATGTGTTTTTGTACTTTCGTTGTAAATAAAGCCAAAGTCTGAACTGTAGATGAAACACTGAAATGCAAAAAGCCTGATTTGTTTTCTGTGACATGTGCGAGACGAGAGATTACAGCAGCATGTTCTAGAGTAAAGTCATCAACTCAACTCCTCGTCTCCCCTCAGTCTCTCATCACGTCTCGTCCAGGAGCTTCATCTCCCACAGCGCTCCGCGGGGAACGAGTGTGTGCTCAGGTGTGTAACACCATCTGACAGAAACAGAGCCACGGACACGAAAGGGCAAGCCGAGCACGGTGACGGGAGAGCAAACGTGACCCCTAGAAGTCAAACTCATTCTCATCTTTTTCATCTTCTCTATTAACACTGTGTCCTCACCAGGTGCAACGTGGGAATGTTGAACATCAGGTAAATAGAGTGCAACAAATGATTTTCTTACTTAATATTTGTCATGTTTTCCAGCACAGATATATAAACATTCCTCAACCAAGATATATTTACTTAAGCGGCAAAATTACATAAGATATTAAATCTTGTTTTCTGACAAATGTATGGTGAGTTTATGCTTAAAACAAGAAACGTATCTGCCAATCTTGTTTTCCCTTTAAATTAAGTTTTTTTTTTCTTTCTTATTTTAAGTGTAAACACTTCATCTTGATACATTTTTCAGAAAGCAAGACTTAATATTAGGGTTGTCAAGCGATGAAATTTTTTTATCTGGTTAATTACATGATGTGCCGATTAATTAATCTAATTAGATGCAAATTGATCGCACATCAATTGTGTGTCATTATTGTTAAATGAGAAAATAATTGAATAGATACTACAAAAAAAGTAGCTTTAGAAAACAAATATTTTGAATCAACATGGCATAAATAATGGTAAAATTGGAAATTAGTTTTTTTTTATTGAATATTGATATAAGAATTTTTTTTTTCAAATAAGAAATGATACTCTCAAAGTCAGATCATTGACTCACTCGATTCGTTCAAACAGCTGATTCATTCAGAAACGAAGCTAGTGACTCTCTTTATGAATGAGTTACTGAATCATTGACTCACTCGATTCGTTCAAACAGCTGATTCATTCAGAAATGAAGCTAGTGACTCTATCTGATTTCATGTGATTATGTATTTAAATTATGCATGAATGTTCCCAAACACGATGACAGTGCGATCTCTGTGTGAGATATGTGATTGTTGTCATATTTCTATAAAAATCTAAAATACATGTTTGTATTAAAGTAAAAATGGATGAGAAATACACCTTTCGTATGGAATTAAATAGCAAGCACTTTGAGTGTCTTGTTCATCATATTTATTTTCATATAAAAGTATCAGAACTGAAATTATATCATGTTTATAAGCAACACAGCACGTGAGTGAGAATAACGCGATATCTGTCTTTGATCTCGTAGGTATCTGTTCCACTTCGAGAGGGCACTCAGTGCAGAACTGTCCGTCTTGACTGCGCTTATTTCACTCCTCCCCTCACTGCAGCCGCCTACTCTTGCCTACATTTCAGGTGAGGCGAGGCGCATCTCAAACAAGCCTAGTGACTCTCTTCATGAATGAGTCACTGAATCACTCGATTCGTTCAAACAGCTGATTCATTCAGCAACAAAACACTGCTGGTGTGTTACTCTGAGATGCAAAGCAGTTCTCCTGCGGCTTTGAGTGGAACTATATTCGCTTGCGAAACGGAGCAAAAACTGACAATATTGAGTCTAAAATTTTACACAATATTAACTTCCTGTTTATTGAACTTTTGTATAAAATCAATAATGCAAATATTCGGGGAAAACAGCTCTTGCTTGAGACACTGCTAATCTATATCATATGCTATAAATATAAGGTCATTTTTTGCCCTCATATCTTGAATTTTGGGATCATGTAACTGTTTCTATCACGCTTCATCACGTTCATCGACGGACAGGTCTGGGTGGTGTGTTAATCATTTTAACGTGTTATTTTTCCCAAACTTAATCGACAGCCCTACTTAATATATTTTGCTTGTGTCTTGAATGTTTAGATATTTGTAATGGAAAACAAGACTAAAACACTGAGGAAGATGATAATTTTTTGCAGTGCGGTCCACTAGATGTTGGGAAGCACGGCGTACCTTCGCAGCAGGAGTTTGGGGTGGTTCTTGCTCTCCAGGTTCTTGTCGATGAGGTCAGACAGGAGCTGTTTCAGGACACCGGTGGCGTACTCCATCTCGCCCTGCAGGGCGCTCATGATGAGGGACGCCACGTTCCCGCGGTCACGCATGGAGAACGAGCGCTGGGCCTCTAGCGTCCGGATGAACGTCAGCAGAAAGTGCTTCTTATTCAAGAGCTGGCCGAACAGAGTCAGAGCCTTCTCCATGTTCGCTGGGACCTGAGAGAGACAGAGAAACACGTCAATCATCTCGTCCGGTTCAGCCCAAAGGTTAAATCCGTCATGGCTCGTACCTCCATCTCCTTCAGCACCGGATGGTCCTCTATTCCCGGGAAAAGCACTCTCATGGCGTAAGTACAGTAATCCAGGAACGGGATTCCAGCTCCATCCAGATCCTGAGTCAGCTCATGGATATCAGTCTGCAGCTCCGCAAACGCTGGAAACAAAGGGGAAAAGACATGGTAAACCTTTTGAACCTCTGAGTGGAAGCTAAGATCTCCAGATTCTCCACAAAAGGTTCTAAAAAGAAGAAAAGAGTTTTCGAAAATGTGTCTTTAGAACTTCAATCAGAATTCCGGTCTGTAGTCACTGAAATCGCTTAGCAACATCCCAGGAAACAGCCAGAACATCCTAGCAACCACATAGCAACACCATGGCAACTAGTGGCAACATATCAGCCTATACATCTTGCATTTTTTAATTATCTGCTTTTTCCCAATAAGTTTTTCGTTAGCACTTTATTTTAAAGGGGTCATAGGATGCCCATTTTCCACAAGTTGATATGATTCTTTAGGGTCTTAATGAAAAGTCTGTAACATAGTTTGGTTAAAATTTCTCAATGGTAGTGTAAAAAACAAATTTTTTACCCTGTCAAAAGCAGCTCTTTTCAGATCAAGCCATTTTTGTAGCATTTTTCTTTAAATGTTAATGAGCTCTGCTGACCTCGCCCCTCTCTTTCGAGCTGCCTAGTCATCGTGA